GCTCAAAATTTTCTTCTTTTTTGTAACATTCCAGCAATCATAATAAAGTATTTATTGTTGATTTGTCGTATCAGATATAAGTCAATATAACAGAGCCACTTTACATTTGCAATAATTATTCTTTGTTACTTTATTTATTATTTTCCCACACATAGTTTCACTCTCTACATGTTCTAATTATATAGCCTTCATCGTGTTGACTTTTTCTCGTCTTTCTCTTTAAGCTCAATGAAACTATAGATTTACTACCCGAGTGACACTTAAATTTTCATTGTTAATACTTAACATTGCCAATAACAAATTTTGCACTGCATCATTATGAACGGATAATTATGGCGAATAAAACTCTGATTCCAGGCAACCTTCCCATTAATCTTCATATCCCAACATCCATTCAACTTTAATTCGAAGAAGCTTCTAGATCTGGTGAGTTTGTCAGTCATGATCAATTTGGGAATCATTTGAGGCCCAAGAAAGTCAATTTTTTTGCCTCACATAGCTTATTTGATTTGCTTTCCAATATTAACCTCCACCAATGGCTTTACATTGTAGAGAAAAGGAATTACAATTAATGACATCATAGTATCGTTGTCATCTTCTAGCTTTCTACTAATGACATCTCTTCTCTAACTACTCTCTATTCTCCCTTCACTCCATAAATCCTAGGAGCTGGGCACATCGAAGTCAAGTTTTAGACTCTTGAAACCTACAAAGGAGCATCTTATCTTGTTGACCGCCATGAAATAACATGGTATATTTACATAACTTAACGCAATTAGATCGCATTTTTTTAACACGTTCAGATATTCTATATGATAGTACTATAATTCTTCGCCAAAAGGTAAGAGGAAGCTTGTGAAGGGCAGAGAACTCTACATGGAACTTCCAAAAATCTTTAAATTGAGTTACAAAAGCGTGGGCATGAAGCTCAAATCAACTTCCCTTGTCGATCCCCACCTTTCAAGGGCTCCGTAGGAGTTGACTAAAGGCTTGGGCGTGGAATGCACTATGAAGGCTGACTGGGAACAATTTGAGAAGGGAAACAGAAAGAAAGCTAAAATAAAAAAACATTTTACATTGCCTTTATAAGTATAATCAATTAAGCTTGGATCAAGAAAATTTCAAGTTACATAATTATTGGCCCAACAATTCTACCGAGACCCATTGGATTAGCTCCCTTTATGCCCTCCAATATCTTAATCTTTGTTGAAGACCTTTTCTAAACATGGTTAGACCCATAGTTTGAAATTCACAATATGAGGCTCATCTTAACACTTGGAAAATTTGTAACGAGGTTAACGCCTCATTAGATACTACAATTAGACTTATGCCTCATATAATATGATGCATGTCTTGCTTTATTCTGAAAAGACATGCCCAATTAGATCCAATATTTTTTAAAATAAGTATAAGCAAAATAATCATAACAAAATACTTGTTACTCGAATAATACACAAATGATAATGTAATTAAATTTATAACTATCAACATACTTATTGTTTTAAAATTTATTTAATATTTTTATTAATTATTATTAATTAAATAAGATGAAGAAGATTGAGATAGAAGATTGGGAGGTGAGATTAAAAAAAATTGGCACAAGTAAGCATGACATGGGGGAAAAAATAAATTGTTATATCTAATGAAAACCCATCGAATTATGAGAACAATGATAACCATTAAATTTAAAAATTCTAATCTGAGTGATTTGTTATGTTCTTATTTTGATGGAGCATGGTATAAGCGTGACAAAGAGATTAACTAAACCAACCTTATCTTGAATAATTATGCTTATATGTCTTACTATGTTCATACAACTCTTATTATTTATGATTTGATATTTGAATGTCAACGTATTACTTCTAACCTTAGATTCTTACTTTTTGCTATGTAGAATGTTAATAATAACTTTTTATATATTAAAAAGTTTTAATATATTATTTCTTACTATATACTTTAAACTTGGTACAATACATCTTACTTGGTGCATTTTATTTATTTTGAAACTTACAACCCAAAATGCCTAAAGTTTAACATTGCATCACAGATTAAAAACAATTTAAATGCACAATTGTGTAATTTTAAACCTTGGCTAGACCTTTTCTTTTCAAAATACGTAGTTTTAGTGTTTTGTTTGATTTTCTCACATATTAAAAAGAGCATCATTACTTCCCAAAATTATAGCCCTGCCACCATATTCAATTGAATATCAGTTCACCTTAGCTCTGTTATGGTTTTATCAGAAAGTTATTGGGCTAAAATTGTCATAACATTGAATGAGTTCTTTTTTTTTTAATGTGCGAATGAGTTCTTAATTGTCAAAGCACAATTAGCAGTTAAAATCCTAATTGAATATTTGATTTGATTTTTTCGAGAAAGATCAAAATTCGACTTTCATTCTTACACATCCATTCCATCTTAAGAGTGTGTTTGTTTTGTTGGAAAAAGGAATGAAATATAAAAAGAACACAATGTAAGAAAATATATATATTGCATTTGGAATTGTTCGGTTTAATGTAAAATAAATGCAAAAGTTTATATTTTCTTGTCAGATTGAGGAAAAACGAATTTAATCTAAAATATGTCGTCAGTGGCTATGATGTCGGTGGCATAGCAGCAGCGGCGACAGGCTACTTATTGTTAGTTGGAGCCCGACAATCCAGCCTCCACCCGCTCCCGCACACATGTGAAGACTCCCGCTCCGTTCCTGCTCTAGTTCGCGATAGAACACGACTCTGTTGTTCTCAAACCGCTCCTCTGTCGCGAATAGTCGCGACGTTTCCCGCCTACGTCCGCGTCTCCCGCCACTCCCTAACCATTCTCGTACTATTCCCGCCTCCTCTTCATGATAAAAGGAGCGGCTCTCCTTCAGATTTAGTGAAGCCCCTTTTTTATTCTTTTTCGGTAGTTTTGCTTCCACGAGACAGAGGAAGAGAAGTGCAAGCAGTAGTTCCTTGCGGTAGAAGAAAAAGAAAAAAGAAGAAGAGTGTTCTCCTTTGGCTTCTTCTTGGTGGCTTGTGGCAGAAGAGAAATTGAGTTTATTTCTCTTGTAAATTTATCCTCTTAGGTGTATCTCAGTGTAGAGAGAGAAGAGTTCGCTCTTGTAAGTCGAGACAATCGACTGGTGTAAATTCCTCAAGTAATAAAATCCTCTGCAACTCCGTGGACGTAGACAATTTGCCGAACCACATAAATTTGTATGTACCGCTGTGTGTTCATTTCTGGTGTGAATTTTCCCGTTCTAATTTTTCGCTTCGTCGATCGTTATATTTTATTTCATATATACCACAACACTTATAACACACAGTGGACGCCAACGATGCGCAGAGGTAGTGGCATCTGCAACGGGAGGGTGTCGGGCGATGGGTGGCAGCATTAGATGCGGCAACTGGGATGACGGTGTTCGCGTTTTGAGGCGACAGTGGACGATGGCCAGGGGTTGTGACATCGGTGGGCGGCGGTGGTGGCAGAGGAAATGTAGTGGGTGGTCAAGGTGGCTGCAATGTTTGTCGCGAATAGTCGCGACGTCTCCCGCCTCCGTTCGTGTCTCCCGCCACTCCCTAACTATTCCCGCCTCCTCTTCATGATAAAAGGAGCGACTCTCCTTCAGATTTAGTGAAGCCCCTTTTGTGTTCTTTTTCGGTAGTTTTGCTTCCACAGGACAGAGGAAGAGAAGTGTGGAGGAAGAGAAGTGTAAGCAGTAGTTCCTTGCGGTAGAAGAAGAAGAAAAAAGAAGAAGATTGTTCTCTCTTGATTTCTTCTTGGTGGCTTGTGGCAGAAGAGAAATTGGGTTTATTTCTCTTGTAAATTTATCCTCTTCGGTGTATCTCGGTATAGAGAGAGAAGAGTAGAGAAGTGAGAGAAAGAGTTCGCTTTTGCAAGTCGAGACAATCGACTGGTGTAAATTCCTCAAGTAATAAAATCCTCTGCAACTCCGTTGACGTAGACAATTTGCCGAACCACGTAAATTTGTGTATTCCGCTGTGTGTTCATTTCTGGTGTGAATTTTTCCGTTCTAATTTTTCGCTTCGTCGATCGTTATATTTTATTTCATATATACCACAACACTTATAGCAGACAGTGGACGCCAACGATGGGCAGAGGTGGTAGCATCTACAGCGGGCGGGTGTCGGGCGATGGGTGGCAGCATTAGATGTTGTAACTGGGATGATGGTGTTCGCGTTTGTAGGCGACAGTGGACGATGGCCAGGGGTTGTGACATCGGTGGGCGGCGGTGGTGGTGGAGGAAATGTAGTGGGTGGTCGAGGTGGCTGCAATGTTTGTGGTGGTCGCGACCAATTGCAATATATTTAAAAATCGCTCAAATCTGATATATTTCAAATACATTACAAATCACAGCAATTTTAAAATGATTTTTTTTTCAACCAACCAAACAACAAAAACTTGGAATCCCTTCCATCCTAAATGCAGTACACTACCCCTTTTAGCCAACCAAACAGCCCTTAGCCTGTCAATCCTATCTGGAAATAAATAAATGACATCACTCCCAGATCCTTTATTGTTCTTAAGAGATTCTGCGTAAGAGTTAAGATTGGTGCTCTAAAGTTCCGGAAACTGCTTAGCCTTTTATTCCTCCACAAACATATTCAGAGAAAATCTATCAAGGTGCTTTTAAATTTGTCAGAATTTAAACTATTGTATCAATTTAATCAACATCTCTTCCATCCTAACATAGAACTATCAGAGATTATAAAAGGTTATGAAACTAAAAACTTAGATATGTAAACAAAGATTGCATGTATTTCATAAAGAAAATTTATGTGATCATGGCTAGCCAATTAGGGAGCTAAGGAATCCAATTGCATAATCAATCATGCTGTCAGAAGGGGATATCGTAGCTCTATATCTTTTTTTTTTCTTCTAAAAAGTTGAATAAAAACCAAACATTCTAAACTTAATGGCTAGGAATAACACAGAAATACTGCCTAGAATAAAAGAAAAGAAAGACAATTTGAACCAAAGAGAATGAATTATGGTTTCATGTTTTTGAAACAAAGATTGGCATGCACTACTCTCGATCCACAAGCGATGAAGTAACAGATATGATAAAGCTATAAAACCTTGATGAGAACTCGTTTAATTTATAGAACCGGCGCTCAATTCCATTTGGCAGATAAAGCACACTTATTTCAGGGGAGAGCTGAACTCACAACCAGTAAAAATTTACAGAATAACGAGATTTGAGAAAAGGCTGAAACAAACCACTACTCTTTAACGAAGCCTAAACAGCGAATTTCTCACTTCTTTACCAGCAACGGGCCAACGTTGTCACCAGTGGCTTTGTTATGCTTAACATGGCTGCCGTCGCATAATGGAAACGTCCCCGATTTCCAGCACCTATTTAGATATCAAGCGGTGATCAATGGTGAATAAGTTGCAGAGGAACAAAAGAGGAAAAGAGAATTGAAGAATAAAAACACGAAAAAGAAAAACTTATTTAAAGAATTCACCGGCAGTAAGCAGTGAGTGGCTTCGAGAGCTCGGAGACGACGACGGAATCGACGACCTTATCCTCGTTTTTGCGGATCTCCTGGTTGATGCCAACCTCCGCTTTAACCAGCAGCCCAGCACGACGCCGCCGGTGAGGTGCCGACGCAAATGAGAGCGCTACGTTTCTCTGCTTTAGCGTTTCTATTGATGGAGTGAAGGAAAAGCGAGCTCCGATAGTGCTGATCATGGCGGAGGAGGATGACATCTTGTTTCTCTAGGGTTGATGCTGTTTGGGATTGATTTTGCTGCTGAGAGTGTGGCCGGCACGAGCTCTCTACATATCGTGAAAACGGACGGCTCAGTTGCGGCGACGTTATGAGTGATTGATTGCTAGCTGGCCGCCGCCTGGACAATGGACGACTCTGATGATGGCACGTGATAAAGATATAACGTACTAAGTCTCTCTCTCTCTCTCTCTCTCTCTCTCTCTCTCTCTCTCTCTCTCTCTATATATATATATATATATATATATATGTATACATAATAAAGCTAAATCTAATAAAAGATATCTAAAAAATAGAATACATAAGAAATAGAAAGCAAAGAACCATGATGAGTTCAAGAAGTGTAATCCCACACATAAAACACTGGGATTCCATCTAACATGAAGGAAATGTATCTAAGCAAATCGAAAGAGGAAATGGATCAATCCTCATAAAAAAAGGAAAGAAAAGAAATAAATCTTAAAAGATTGCAAAAACGAGTTGATTAGCAGAGATATAAATTCTATAATGGTTGAGTCATCTTGTTTAGATAAAAAACATAAAACTTAATCCAAGAAATATAAATATATCAAAGCAAATCAAAAGAAAAAAGAAACCAAAACAGGTTAACCAAAAGAGAACCCATAACATAAAATAATTAATAATAAAGTAAATAAGCAAACATAAAGTTTCTATAATGGTTTAGTTTAAATGTTAATGATGGATAACATCATAGCTCAAAAACCAAAAAAGTGCCACCTGTCTATAATGTTGAACAAAGGCCGACAAAAAGAACCAATGGGTGTTGCATCAATATAAATAAATTTAACATATGTGATAAGAAAAAAAGACACATAAAACCAAAAAAAATTCTAACTGAGAAAAAAAAAAAAAATCAATTCTGAAAAACCCAAGAAAAATCATAAGGATGGCAATTATAATTTGTAAAGATTCTTAATATTAAAGGAAATATCCTTTTTAAACTTTCATTTCCTAATTTTATGTTTAACCATCTAGTGAATTTTCTGAAGAAGCATCTCAGTGAGATTGGTTTTATCCTTGAAGATCCTACAATTTCTCTAACACCAAATGTAGTAGGTAGTAGATTACACAGCTAATAAGTCAAACTTCTTAGAGATTTTGTAGATGAAATTCTTAGAATGATTCAAAACATGAATAATGTTAACTGAAGCAATGCAAATGTTCCCATTGGGAATTTAAGCAAAACATGTGAAAATAGACAATAAAAAAATAAATATTATAAATTTTCATGCAATTCAAACAATGGACACAATTAAAGATTGATAGAGACACCTCAATAGATAAGAACATCACGCATTTTAAAACCATAATGCATGATCTTCCTTTTATGAAGAGCCTAAAAATATTTTTTAAATCACACAAGCTAACTTGAGTTAACATAAGGAAATGCCTCATGTAAAAAAAAAATGTAGAGCTTGATGAGAATAATCATTCAAACTTTTTTGAAGACAAGAAAAACCCTTATTAATATGAACACTATAAAAAGATTGAAAACAATAATCAAGAGCAATAATGTTCTTAAAAAAACTTAGTAAAATTAGAGATTGGATCACCGACTTGGTTTTTTTGAAATTGTGAACCCAAGTAAAAATTGAGTCCCCAAACCTTTCATACGAAGAAGACCCATGAAATCAATGTTCAAAAAAGAAAAAGAGTTGGCTATTCTACTAAGAAAGGTTAAGAAATATATAATCAATCACTTAAAAAGTTAAGAAAAATATAATTTTCATTCCTAATTTAATAAAATCTTTTGAGGATGAAAAGATTGAAGAAAAATATTTACTCTAGATAGAATCATAATGACACAAACACTAAATAGAAAGATAAGAGTTAAGATTGAAAAATCTCCAAATAATTTTATATTTACACATAACATTAATAAATTATATGTTTGTGTTTCTTTTTATTATAGCTCGAGTGACCTTTTAGCGTCCTGTCTTTTTCGATCCCTTTTCTAGTCCCTCGTTTAGAAAAGTAAAAGAAAAAAAAAAGAATGTTGAAAGTGGACAAAACCAAGAAGAAATAAAATGACTAGCTAAGGAGAAATTTATATTGGAAAAATCTGCATAATATAAACTGAAGGAGAGTGGTCAAAGTAAACAAGATCATATTCAACACGAGAAAATATATGAAAAATATCCTATAAAAAAACCTTAATAGCAAAACTTGAATATAAAAATCAAATTTATTTTGTTTTGGTCTTAAAGAGACCGCCCACAATGATATATCCTCATAGTCAATTACTCATGGAGGAAAACAAAAAACTCATAATCAAAGGTGTTGTGTTTGCTCAATGAATTGGAATATTGGTAACAAAGGAGATTTTTGAAGGTCCATGTAGTGGAAACTTTGAACTATTAGAGTGAACTAAGCCACTAGGTAGAGGGCGAATAACCATAATATGACCAAGAGGGACTATAAAATACATCTCATGATCCTTGCTACACAATAACCCTAAATCTACCAAGCCATGAAGGTAATTGGCCCAACCTGATGGGTAACACTTTGTCAGAAACCCATATATTGCATCATTCAAAATTATCTAGTAGATCCAAACTCAAAGGAAGGAAATGTCTAAAATCCATGACTCTATTGACCAAAAGATAAAGTGGGGATTATACTTAAAAAGGGTATGGAAAGGAAACCTATACAGAAAAAAGGAAGAAAAGATGAATCAATCACTAAGGTAAGCTATTCCATAAAGGGCTTACAAATCCGTCTAGATCAGGAAAACCTCTAACACTATAAACAAGCTAGATAAAACTATTTAAGCATATAAAGCATATGCTTGGCCAATCTGGCTGAGGAAGAAATAATACTTCCTCTTGGGACATGTAATATGATGTAATTGTCCATGACATCGTAAGTGTGGAGGCATTATTAATATGTAACGGGATAAAACCAGGTAATTATGATCATTTTAAATCTGATCTGAGGGTCATGCAAAAAAGTAAAGAAAAAAATAAAGTTGTAGATTTTAAAATCATGAATATTTTAATCCTAAATTTTATTAGCTAAATCTTTAAAATTTTGACTTTAATAGAAAAAAATTTATCCTATAGATCTTAATCCAAACAAATCAAAGAAATAAAAAAGTGTGAACACATGTAAACTATAGTAAAGAAAACACTTTATATAAAAAAAATTTGTTCCTAAAAAGAAAAATAATGGTCTTGATCTACATAAACATACCTGATCCTAACTAAGACTATACAACAAATATATAATTCAAAATTAAAGTATGGGGCATGAGCGAGCAACTCATGGCCCTTGTTACACAATTTTTTATTCATGTTTTGAGACTTATGCTTTGTAGCTAGCCCATTCCACGAGATTGTTGATGTTCGTAAAATAGAAAAAGCTTTATGGCTAGTCCGCCGTTTAAACTATGGAAGACTTCCCCTATGAAAAATTGAAGGGATAAGCCCTCCACATTACCGTGCCAAAGACGGAGGCAATTATGTCGTAAATCCAAGAGCGTCAACCCTATGTATCTAAGTTAGGTCAAGTTCGATGCACTATCAAGCATTTGGGTTGCATTGCATATGCATGATCATTTGTTGCATTTTTGCATGTAAATCATGATGCATATCATATGCATGATCGCATGAGCACTTCGAGTCAATCGGTCATCCTAGACCAATCCCTGATCCCCTTGTGTTTTATTGGTTGTCCCAGGCAGATCACTATGTCTGTTGTGTTTGATTGATCGTTATGTGTTGATAACTCATTTTGGGTTCGATCGACTGTTCTAAAAACTTTGTCTTATGGATTTGATCGACTGCTACGTGTTGATCAACCGTTTTCGGGTCGATCGGTCGTCCTAGGCTGATCCCCAATCCTTTTTTGTTCGATCGGTCATCCTAAATTGATCACCTTGTCTTTCGGGTTTGATCGACTGTCATGCCTCGATCACCCGTCTTAGGTTTGATTGGTCGTTTTGAGCCAATCACCTTGTCTTAAGGGTTTGATCAACTGCTACGTGTCGATCACCTGTCTTGGGTTTTATCGGGTGTCCCAGGGTGATCACCCAATCTTTTGGGTTTGATCGACTGCTACATGTCGATCACCCATTCCTTTAGGTTTGATCGGCCTTCTTGTTCTGATCACCCCATCCTTTCGGGACCGATTGATTACCCTCAGATTGATCCACCTGCTTATTCGGTCTGACGAACGCCACTACCCGGTGGACTGACCACCTACATGGTTGTATTCTTTTGCATCATATTGCATTTCTGTGTGTGCGCTCGCATGTGTGTTTGGTCATTGTTGAGGCAAGATGTAACTCTCCCTAGTGGCATCCTATACCCAATTGTGGATAGGCAACCATCCATTTAGGGTACGGTAATTCACCCTCAGCCCTTATAGCTTGAATAGGCCATTAAAGCATATTGTGAATCCTATGAGTTGACTTGGCCATTTCATAGGCCTCGATTATTGATGAACCGCTACTTATTTGAGATGTGAGAGATTCATTCTATGCCCTATGGTTTAATGAGAGCTTTGAAAACATGGAGATGCTCCTATGAGATAATCATCCATTGTGACACCCTTAACTAGTTGTCACTTAAGTGTAAGCAAAATTGCTTTAATCAAGAGTATTGTTGGGCATCCCCCAAGATGTAATTAACCAAAGGGTACATCCCTCTGGGAGTTGGTCTTAACCCCAAAACAAACACACACAATTGACTTTCTAGTTGTGGGTTGCTTTCGTATGACCATCTTTGCAGATATGTTTCTAAGATATTTTTGATTCGATCTTATTCGGACGTATGCTTTTTGGGCTATCACACAAAGTTTACTTTACAAAAGTTCTCCACTTTCTTTCTCTTGTTTGTCTACCTTCATTGTTTGTTCCTTATTTTTCAATTCATCTCTTCTTCAAATCAACCATATGATCTGAAAGAGATATTTACTCGAAAAACTAAATCATATGATGATAGACAAGTTGGAAACTCATAATAAAAATGAGAAAAAGAATGAAAATAGATATGAGAACTCTAATGGGGAAAATCTCTCTATTTAAGGAGTCTTGCTTACATTTTAGTGACCTAGTTACTTTCTTCATAGCA